GGGAGAGAGAGAGAGAGATGGGGAGGGATGGGAGACAGACAGACAACCACGCACGCACGCACGCGCGCACACACAGAGACAGATACGAAAGAAACAGTGAAAAAACACCCGAAAAAAACATCGCGTATTTACCGGTTCGACGAAGGAAATGCACTGAGAGAGAGAGAGAGAGAGAGAGAGAGAGAGAGAGAGAGAGACACTTCCTAACAGAATTCAATAAACACCATTAAGAGTTACATCTCGAATGTTCAAGGAGTGTTCTGCAACATGCCTAATAAAATATCACGCAAAGAGGTTGCTTGTTACATATTACAATAACCAATTTTATTTATTTAGCTGTTGTTTTTTCCTGGAATCTATGTTACTGTCACTCTTTATAATTAGCATTGCATCATTATCATCATCATCATTATTATTACTGTTACCATAATTATTATCGTTATCACCTTCACTAAAATTGCCATCGTTATGATCATTGTACAAACGTTATCAAAATCATCATCTTCATTGACATTATTATCATCATCTTCATTGTCATTATTATCATCATCTTCATTGTCATTATTATCATCATCTTCATTGTCATTATTATCATCATCTTCATTGTTATTATTATCATCATCTTCATTGTCATTATTATCATCATCTTCATTGTTATTATTATCATCATAGTCATTATTGTCATTAATACAGATCATAGCCAATAATTCTAATATTATAATGGAACCTATTTATTATAACAAATCATTATTCATCATTTTCTAACATACATTGTCAGTCAGTTTAAGTAAAGTTAACTATAGTCATTATCACTTTTTTGTATATGGATATACATAGAGATTTTGATCTCTAGGTGAATATTCAAAACAAGAATTTTGCATGTGATGTCATTTATATATACATATATATATATATATATATATATATATATATATATATATATATATATATATATATATATATATATATACATACGAAAGAGGAAGACAAGGAGAGAGGGCGAGAGGGCGAGAGGGCGATAGGGAAAGAAGGAGAGAAGGAGAGAAGGAGAGAAGGAGAGAAGGAGAGAGGGAGAGAGGGAGAGAGGGAGAGGAGGGAGGAGAGGGAGGGAGGGAGGGAGGAGGGAGGGAGGGAGGGAGGGAGGGAGAGAGAGAGAGAGAGAGAGAAGAGAGAGAGAGAGAAGAGAGAGAGAGAGGAGAGAGAGAGAGAGAGAGAGACAGAGAGAGAAGAGAGAGAGAGAGAGAGAGAGAGAAATTGAGTTTATAGATGAATATTATTAAACGTGTACGTGATATCACATGCTAATAAATATACTTTACTCCAATTATTGAAAATGCATTTCCATCGCACATCGCAACCTATAAAGTACGAACTGATCCAGACAGAAAAAGAACTTATCACTGCACAGGCACTGAAACCCAATTCCATTAAAGATAATATTATTCCCAAGTCTTCATTGTCATTATTATCATCATCTTCATTGTCATTATTATCATCATCTTCATTGTCATTATTATCATCATCTTCATTGTCATTATTATCATCATCTTCATTGTCATTATTATCATCATCTTCATTGTCATTATTATCATCATCTTCATTGTCATTATTATCATCATCTTCATTGTCATTATTATCATCATCTTCATTGTCATTATTATCATCATCTTCATTGTCATTATTATCATCATCTTCATTGTCATTATTATCATCATCTTCATTGTCATTATTATCATCATCTTCATTGTCATTATTATCATCATCTTCATTGTCATTATTATCATCATCTTCATTGTCATTATTATCATCATCTTCATTGTCATTATTATCATCATCTTCATTGTCATTATTATCATCATCTTCATTGTCATTATTATCATCATCTTCATTGTCATTATTATCATCATCTTCATTGTCATTATTATCATCATCTTCATTGTCATTATTATCATCATCTTCATTGTCATTATTATCATCATCTTCATTGTCATTATTATCATCATCTTCATTGTCATTATTATCATCATCTTCATTGTCATTATTATCATCATCTTCATTGTCATTATTATCATCATCTTCATTGTCATTATTATCATCATCTTCATTGTCATTATTATCATCATCTTCATTGTCATTATTATCATCATCTTCATTGTCATTATTATCATCATCTTCATTGTCATTATTATCATCATCTTCATTGTCATTATTATCATCATCTTCATTGTCATTATTATCATCATCTTCATTGTCATTATTATCATCATCTTCATTGTCATTATTATCATCATCTTCATTGTCATTATTATCATCATCTTCATTGTCATTATTATCATCATCTTCATTGTCATTATTATCATCATCTTCATTGTCATTATTATCATCATCTTCATTGTCATTATTATCATCATCTTCATTGTCATTATTATCATCATCTTCATTGTCATTATTATCATCATCTTCATTGTCATTATTATCATCATCTTCATTGTCATTATTA